TATAATTAATAAAACAACAATACATTACCGGTAATAATATTTATATACTGTATATGAGTGTTGCCAAAAGAAAACCCGACAATTTAAATATAGTCTATATTTAAATTGTCGGGTTTTCTTTTGGCGGCACTCAAATATAAAAAAATTTTTTATGGATATTAAGTGCTATATCGAAATGTTCTATTGATTTATAATAGCTTTAAACCTTGGGCACTACGCCAATTTTATCCCATTTCAAACAATTTCGATCTGTTTCATCCAAATCTCTGGTCTCTCCATTTTTATTAATTCTCATTGCAACAAATGAATGTGATTGGGAATGAGAAATTATCTCTTCTTGAAGAAGGTCAATCATGGAGGCATTGTTATCTCTTACAAATGTTATACGCTTTATAAAATCACAACAACGTTCAAGTGCTATTTGAGAAGGTTTGGAAAATGAAAATATCTAATTGATAATTACAAAATTATGGTTAAAAATTTTATTAAATCAATTGGAAATATAATTTTATTCTAGATATTATTTTACTTACGTGCCAGGCGTGAGGCATATCATCATAAACTTCAAGTATAACTTTAGTAGGATTTTTGAAAGGTGAGTTTTCAAAATTTTTAGTTGCATATGAAGGCAATTGATATTCGCGAGGGCTTGCGGCTTTAAGGCTAAATAAGATTGCTTCATCATGAAGTTTTTCATGTCCTCCAACTTGCTATAATTAATCTTACATGTTAGTTATATTTGTTGAATCATTAATATATGATATATTATAAAGATATTTATAAAAAAGTAAGTAACTTACACATAAAATAGGCGGTAAATCACCCAAAGATTCTGCAAGCATAGGACTAGGAATTAAAATATAATGGTTAAAATTCTACTTTCTGTAATTCTTAGATAAGGATATATTATAGAAATGCACTTACCTAATGTAAGGAATTGCCAATGCTTCATTAGCACAATAAAATTGGAAACGAGGTACTTCTATGAAAGAAGGATGGCCAACGATTTTAGGTTTCTTTTGAGCAATTTTGTCAGCTAGAGCCTCAGCATTGGCAATATATTCTTCTTTGGCATGTGAAGAAGATACAATTTTGTGGAAGCCTAATGGTTTAGGAAAATAGTCGACCTTATCTATTTCAGCGTCCCAAAATGATGGCATACTTTGAGTCAAATCTACCTATTGGTTATGAGAAGCATTGATTATACTAGTTTTTTATTGATTTAAATCGAGTTTCAAATATATACATACCCATGGTGACTTGAAGTGTAAAAATATGGTTAATATTGTGTAAATATGTGAACTCATTTATTTATTTGCCGCCAAGGGTGTAATTTGAATTTTGACCTAAAGTTTAATTCAAGCCATCATTCGAAAT